AAACATTAAAATAAAACTACATGGATATTTTAAAATATGGATACAAAAATGGCTAAAAGAGTTCGATTAAAAAAAAAAAAGAAACAAAGAAGGGATAAACCGGAGACTGAAGAACATTTGTTATCTACAGGACAGGGTGATTTGACTTTGTGTCCCCATCCAAATCTCATCTTGAATTGTAATTCCATAATCCCCATGTCTTGTGGGAGGGACCTGGTGGGAGGTAACTGAATCCTGGGGGCGCTTTTCCCCCATGCTGTTCTCGTGATAGTGAGTAAGTTCTCACGAGATCTGATGGTTTTATAAGCATCTGGCATCTTCCCTGCTGGCACTCATTTTCTTTCCTGCTGCCCTATGAAGAGGTGACTTCGGCCATGATTGTAAGTTTTCTGAGGCCTCCCCAGCCATGCAGAACTGTATGAGTCAATGAAAACTCTTTTCTTTATAAATTACCCAGTCTTGGGTACTTCTTCATGGCAGTGTAAGAACAGACTAACACACGTGGGAATGGGATGGAAGGGATAAAGGATAGAGTGACACGTCTCTGAGTATATCTTCTCATATCATTTTGATTTTCAACAATATTAATATTTTACTTATTCAAGAAAATGAAATTAAATAAACAGTTATGGGAGAAGACTCTAAAATTCAATATAAATAGGAGCAAACCCAATTGATTTCAAATGAAAAATATAACCACACTGAATGAAAAAAATTAACAAAAGCAATTATTGAGCATAGTAATTTGAGTATATCCCTTCAATCTGAAGATTAAAAAATTATAAACAAATCTTGGAACTTTACTTAAAAGGTTAGTGTACTTAAAACATTGATCAATCAATATTAACATCACCAGTAATGAGATAGAACATCATATGCCTCCCGATGTGATGCATTGAGAACATAATAACGCATTGTGATACTCTTGGCCCCTCAAAAACAATTAAACTGAATCTAATGAGGAAATATCAGATAGCCTCAAACTGATGAAATTATTTTTATTTACTTATTTTTCGAGGTGAAGTCTTGCTCTGTTGCCCAGGCTGGAGTGCAGTGGCATGATCTCAGCTCACTGCAACCTCCGCCTCCCAGGTTCAAGCAATTTTCCTGCCTCAGCCTCCCAAGCAGCTGGAATTACAGGCATACACCACCATGGCTGGCTAATTTTTGTATTTTTAGTAGAGACGGGGTTTCACCATGTTGGCCAGGCTGGTCTCAAGCTCCTGACCTCATGATTCACCCTCCTTGGCCTCCCAAAGTGTTGGGATTACAGGAGTGAGCCATCGCGCCCAGCTGAAATTATTTTTAAAAATTGGACTGTAGGTGCTCTTTAAAAATGACTATATCATGAAAGACAGAAAAGTTGTAGACAGATTAAATAAGTCTAAACATGACATGACAACTAAATGCAATGTGTGATCCTGGATTAGATATTGAGCTGGAAAATAAATTTTTATAATGAACATTTACTAGTTTTCCAAATAGAAAAACTAGGAAAATTTGAGTGTGGACTGTAGATTACATAATAACATTGTAATAATGTCAAATTTCCTGATATTTATATTTGTATTGAGGTTATGTAAAATCTTCTTCTTCTTAAGAAATACACACTCTAAGGTCAGATGCGGTGGTTCATGCCTGCAATCCCAGCACTCTGCGAGGCCGAACTGGGGGATTGCCTGAGCCCAGGAGTTCAAGACTAGATTGAGCATCATGGTGAAACCCTGTCTCTACAAAAAGTAGAAAAAAAATTAGCTAGGCATGGTGGCGTGCGTCTGTAATCCCAGCTGCTGAGGTGGGATCACTTGAGTCTGGGAGATCGAAGCTGCCACTCCAAGAGTGAGACCCTGTCTTGGAAAAAAAAAAAAAGAATGAAAAAAGGAATACACACTCAAGAAGTATTTAGTGGTAAACTGGCAAGATGTCTGCAACTTACTCTCAAATGGTTGAGAAAAAATGTGTGCGCACACACACACATACAGAGAGAGTAGGCACAGATGTGGCAAAATGTTAAATGAGGAATGTGGGTGAAGGACATTAGGAGTCTTCTTATTACTCTTGCAAGTTTTCTGTACATTTTAAATGATTTCAAAAAAGTTTTGTTTTTAATTGCTTCTAGCTTCTTCTTTGACCATTAAACTTACTTCACTTCTTCCTCACACTCTCTATCTGGGGTCCTTATTGGGCAAGAGTTTACATTATCTTGAACTTTACCAGTAAAACGATATGAGGAAGATGGAAATTAGTATCACTTACAATGGGAATGAAGCGATTGGGGCACCAACTCTTTACGCAGTTGAAGAGGAAATGCTGCTGCCCCTTTTGGTGCAGTCTCCACTCGGTAAAGGACTGTGGTTTGAGGTCTGCCCCACCTCCCTTGTCCCAGAGGGAAGGGAAAGCATTTTACTCACAGATCTCTTGTTATCATTATTTAATCTTAGTTTGGTCATTGGTAACTTAGAGGAAAGGAGGAATCACAAAAGGTAGCAAGAAGGACGTGTATCCATACCGTGTATCAATCCCAACTTTCTTGAAAGGCCAGGCCATGCGAAGGTGTGTGGGACCCCAATATAGATGGATCTAATGAGTTACTCTGAAACAATTTTCTTCGTTAAATGCTCTGCACATAGTGGTGAAATGTCTTTAATATCTACAATAGTGCTAGTACAACACAGAAAAGCAGCCCAGTCCCCATATCCTTTGCTGTAATTCCAGTATTTACAGTAGACAACTGGAGATTCTAATACAGAGGTTGGGGTACAGATTTCGCAATTACAAAGAGCTGGCATCAGTATTGTCTTCAGAGGACATTCACCAAAGGAGCAAAGCAAAGGCTGAGAATATTGACAAAATGCGTTGTTTAACCAAAAATTGAATGGAAAACAGATTCCCTGACAAGCCATCAAATTCAGAGTTGCGGGGAAACAAGTTACAATGATAGCAAAGTAACAGCATCCAGTAGGTAACTAGCCAAAGTCATACACAGTTTACTATAGACAAAGACTGAAGACTGGGGGCATAGAAGGCCTAAGATCTCAAGTCAGGCCATGCGCCTCCCACCCACCCACCAGGTCCCTGTAGTTTACAATTGGGTCTGTTCATTCTGAGGACCCCACTAAAGCCCCTATTCTATAGAAGTCTAGATGTCCCTAGTAGTTTGGGATATTTTTTGTCTATGTCAAGAGGCATTGGTAGTCTGCAAAACTGGCTGCTTTCCAAAGCCAATGATAAAGAAAGAAGCATCAACCTCTCTCTCTCTCTCTTTTTTTTTTTTAAGGCAGGGTCTTGCTCTGTCACCCAAGCTGGAGTGCAGTGGTGTGATCGTAGCTCACTGCAACCTCTAACTCCTGCAATCCTCCTGCTTCAGCCTCTGAAGTAGCTGGGTCTACAGGCACATACTACCATGCCCTGCTAATGCCCAGGTATTTAAAAAATTTTTTCATAGAGACGGGGTCTCCCTATGTTGCCAGGCTGGTCTTGAGCCCCTAGGCTGAAGCAGTCCTCTTGCCTCAGCCTCCCAAAGGGCTGGGATTACAGATGTGAACCACCACACCCAGCAATACACTTCTTAATCAATTTCACAAAAGATGAACAAAAAGGGCCAAGTCCTAAGCAAGTGCAGAGCGTGTGAAGAGTACCCTCAGTGGCATCCCTTCCCGATTTGTGTTCTTTTGTTTAAATTAGCTTGTTTCACTCTCAACTGCGAATGGTGAATGCCCAACATGGGCTTAAGAGCCTATTCTCATGAAGGGATTTTCATCTTTGTCAGGAATCAAAGCCTTAAACGAAGACTCAACTGTTTATCTGGAGCTGGTAGAGCAGGTTTGCTCATGAAGTCACACCCGGTTGGCATCACAGAGGCCTGAAAGCCGCTGTGCTGGAGAACTGAGCCAATTACTATTCCCACCCAATTCCTGGCAGGTGTCAACCTGCCCTTTACAAAGTCTCAGCAGATGCACTGCTTACAAGATGTTTCATGTCAACGTAATCTTTATAGGGGACCAGTCCCATCCTGCCCGAGATTCTACTACCCTGAAGCCTCCCTGGGACATCCTGTGAGAGACTGATTATCCTCTTCAGTGGTAGGCTGAAGCTCTCCCATACTCAGGTATATTTCGAATTCCCAGGACAACTAAACCAGCTATTTTTCCACCCTCGTAGCAAATGACACTGAAAAGGACCTGGCCTACACTAAGACGCATGAAGTCTGGCGATTTTTAAATCCAGCTGCAGATGTAACCAACAAGTTAAATAATGTCTGACAGGAGTGCTTCATCTTTAAAATCCTTGTTGTGCACCACACTACTGCTTCTTTGTGGGCTTTTGTCCACAAAGGTCCTTTGATTCAGTTTGTTGATACACACGCAGAGATTTCAATTAAATGTGGTTTTTAATAATCCTCATGCTGTCATGCATGTTAACTGTTTTATTTTTATGCATTACTATGACCTACACTTTGTTTTGAAAAATGAAGCTTTCAGATCATTTTCAGCTTCGTCGCACCCTCAAGTGTGCTTTTCTGGCCTTCTCATTTTTGACTGAATTTGGAGAGGAATGAAGAAGTCATTTTTAGGCCCTGATTTGAAGGACCTATCAAAAAAGAAAGTCTTTCCACCCCCACCCCACCCCGCAGCCCCCTGCTTGGAGGCAGCCAGTTGACCTGCTTATGTCTTGGTGTGAATTGGGGATCTGAACAAGGGAAACTGGAGGCTGCAAAAGGGCTCTGGAAGAAGTTCAAAAGCAAATTTGTTTTCCACATTTTGCTCAGATTTGCCCTGTGGAGATTAGAAAGCAAGATCTCTGAAAACAATATAAGAACCTTAATTCAATAGCCTGGAGAAAATCTTCAGCCAGTGGAGGGCTCTTACACAATTAGTCTTCCTAAGAACAGAGCATAAATCAATGGTTTCAAATGGGCACAAAATAGAATGCAAAATATTTTTTTTTAGATAAAAGAAAAAATTTCCACTGGCAAAAACTAGAATAACTGACTATGGAGACTTCATTAGCAGAATAGAGGCCGCTTTAAAGGACTGGGTATGACCAGGTTTCAGTCCTTCCAGACGCTGGATTCTGAGAGGAAGGATGGTTCCCTGGAGATCAGCATGGGTTCAGTGAGTATGAGGAATTGGCATTGGTTATGAAAGGGAAGAGCAAGACCTTCACTCAGATGTAGGGACAGGAAAACAAACCACAGTATAGACCACATAATAGCTGCATTATAGATAGTGATCAGTTTATGACGATACATATTCTTAGAAGCCAGTCTTGTTAACAGGTGACACTGATGTACATTCTCCCGGTTCTCACTGGCACAAGACAGCTTCATAGACACATACATATTGCACAAAATTCTATGACAGGTTTCCACAGGAAAAGGTTTCCACCTGGTCTCTGCTATTTCCTACAGAAGGGACAAAAGTTCCCTGAGTCACTGTTCACTGGTACCCAGTGTGCTTCCTCCTGTGAAGGGCCATGAGCCTATCTCTTTACTTCATTGGCAAACTCCAGTGGCATCAAATGGCCTTGGTCATAGGCAAGAGTCATTTAATACGACAGCAATTGCTGCAGCTGTGACCCCTTCCATTTGGCAACAGACCTTGAGCCTTTACAAATATCTTCAAGGACTCAAAATGAGATGTCTTCTTTTTGAAAATATACAAACCAGAACCAGCTTGCTCTTCCTCAGAGGATGTTGACTGTGGTCACTGTTCTTTTGAGAGCAGTCGTTAACTTTTCAGGGTAGCTTGCTGTTCCCCTGCCAGTACAACTTCTCTTCCACTTTTTTCTTTTTCCATCGGCAGAGAAGCAGCATCTTAAAGGTCTTCCTGAAGGTTCTGTTGCAGAGGGCATAGCAGATGGGGTTGACAGTGCTATTGACATAGCACAACCAGTAGCCCAAGTGCCACAGGGTGACTGGGACACACTTGTCACAGAAGGTAGAAACCAGGACCATGATGTTATACGGGGTCCATGTGATGATGAAGGCCAGGAGAATGGCACTCAGTGTCTGGGCTGCCTTCCTCTCTTTGACGAGGACCATTCTCTTTCGTTTGGTCATTTGATGGCTGGGGTTGGGACTGAGGCCTTTCGTTGAAGGCTCCTTGGCCACTGGGAAGGAGCAGGGCATGATTTTCACCTTGTGACAGCCGTTGTTGTTCTCCTGGGTCCCGTCAGCTTTTACCACCAATCGGAACTTATAGGCCACACATTTCTGACTCTTGGGTCTATGAGCAGCTGCTGGAGACAGAAAGTAGTTTGGGGTGTCAGAGTCATGTTTTTCAGTTTGAGCTTTCACAAAAGTTTCCTCAGCGTCTTCAGCACTGAATTCTTCCCCTGGGCTTTCCTTACCCCGACTCTTGTAGACCACTTGGAGGACAGGGTCAGTGGTGGGCTTGTCCTCATCCTCTGAGGAAGGGTAACTGCTACAGGTGGTGAGCTGCTCAGCTTTGGCCTGGTTGGTGCTTGGGTCAGTGGCTTGGGATGGCTTCCCGCTGGTGGAGGCGCTCCTGCGGGAGGATGACCAGGAGGTCTGGTTCCTTTCCCTCTGGGCCAGGGTGGGTCGAGGACAGCGCAAGCAAGATCTGAACAGAGCCCTATGAGCTGGCTTTCTCTTCTCAGCTTCGGTCACAGAGTCAGAACCCTGGAGGTCAGCCAGGTCCTTGGTTCGCTTCTCTGTTTCCCGGTAGATTCGACAGTAGAGGATGGTCATGACAGAAACAGGGATGTAGAAAGCAGCAATGGCAGTGCCAAAAGTGATGGTGGGCTCTGAGAGAAACTGGATCTGGCACTCATCCAGTGGAACTGTCCGCTTCCCAACCAAGTACTGCCAGCAGAGGATTGCTGGGGCCCAGAGGATGAAGGAGATCAGCCAGGCCAAGCCAATCATGACGCCAGCCCTTTTCGGAGTACGCTTGGCCCGATACGTCAAGGGTCTTGTGATGGAAAAGTAACGGTCAAAACTGATCACCAGAAGGTTCATGACAGAAGCGTTGCTGGCCACGTAGTCCAGTGCAAGCCAAAGGTCACAAGCCAGACTCCCGAGAGCCCAGCGTCCCATGAGGATGTAGGTGGTGTAGAGGTTCATGGAGAAGATCCCAATGATGAGATCTGCACAGGCTAAGCTGAGCAGGTAATAGTTGTTAACTGTCTTGAGCTGGCTGTTGACTTTGAAGGAGATCATGACCAAGACGTTGCCCACAATAGTGATCAGGCTTACCACAGCAGTCACCGCTGCAATGCTGATGACTTCCCACAACCTGTGGCGTTCCAAAGGCTGGTGATTTACTGGGGTGCCATTGACGGTGGTTGCATTGTGGTAAGAGTCCCCTTCCATCCTGGTGCAAAATTTTTATATTAGAATAGTCTTAGGTTCTAGGCTGTTCTCGATTTCAGCTCTTGTTGGCCAGCATCTGGAAGAGAGGGAAACACATGAGCTCCGCACAGCAGCATGACTTTCTCGTCCATTCATTGTTTATAGTTTCTAACAATATTAAACGTGGCTGCACACATATTCAGAGCAAGATGCTGCTGACATCTCTAAAGTTTGATCGCCTATTTTTAATGGCATCCTTTTGCTTTTGCTGCCAATGGCCTAGTGCCCTTCTTCTGTGTGAGGCTGCTGCCCTCTTGTGGCAATTTTAAAAAGGGCTGGGAAGACGAGGAGGGTGAAGGGAAAGGAAAAAAAAAAGGATTGTTGAGAAGCAGTAAAGAGGAGAAAGCAGGGATGTTAAATCACCTTAGATTGCAGTGGCCGTAAGGGCAGAAACCTTATTTTTTTTTAAGATTCTGGTGATAAATACCTAAATTGTCATGCACTGGGGAAAAAGTGGTATCTATTCTATAGTCCCAGTCTCCATTATTGAACATTACTGAGGTGCTGTTGTGAGCCAAGACCATATTATACCACTTCTTTTTGCCCTAATGCACAAACTCCAAGTGCATACCTGGTTTTCATCTAGGGGATCTGACATTTGCCCCAGCTGCTGAAGATAAGGACCTTCTCTCTGTTCCTGGACTATTTGCAATATCATAGAATTGTTTTAGGTTATCATTTTTCTGATTGTAGAGTAATATATTCCTCATAAAAGTTTGAACAATGTCTAAATGTAAATCTTAGAAAGCAAAAGTCTCTTCTAATTCCGTCTTGCAGAGATAATCAATGCTAACAGTTTAGTGTATATTTTGGCATTTTCCCATATGCATATACTAATACATAAATATTTAAATACGATTGCCCCTATGCATATACTAATACTTTTACCATTTACAATTTGAATTTTGTTTTTAACTTAACAAATGAATTATCACAGACCGCTTTTGTATCAGTACATCGAGAGCTATCACTTTCATTGTAATGACTGTACATTATTCCACTTAATGGATGTACTATATTTAATTAACTCTCTGTTGACAATTTTAACTTTTAAAACTAAAAGGAAATTTTCCTTTTGTAGATTAAAAAAATCTATGTACATGATAAAGATTTCAGTGGGTACCAAAGGATAAATGGCAGGAATTAGGTCTCCCTCCCACCTCTGACCTCCAAGCTTGCAAGCCCCCCTTTTCAGAGGTAACCACTGCTACCATTTATTTTTCCTTCTAGAGATACATGTGCATACAACGTATATTTGATGACATATAACAAATACCACCTTGACATGATAATGGGCGGTAAAAGGAAAAAATAAATCTTTTTTTTTTTTTTTTTTCCGGAGGGAGGATGGAGTCTTGCTCTGTTGCCCAGGCTGGAGTACAGTGGCGCTATCTTGGCTCACTGCAAGCTCTGCCTCCCGAGTTCACGCCATTCTCTTGCCTCAGCCTCCAGAGTAGCTGGGACTACAGGCGCCCACCACCACGCCCGGCTGAGTCTTGCTCTTGTCGCCCAGGCTGAAGTGTAGTGGTGCCATCTCGGCTCACTGCAACCTCCACCCCTCGGGTTCAAGCAATTCTCCTGCCTCAGCCTCCTGAGTAGCTGGGGTTACAGGTGCCCGCCACCATGCCCGGCTCATTTTTGTACTTTGTAGTAGAGATGAGGTTTCACCATGTTGGCCAGGCTGGTCTCGAACTCCCGACCTCAGGTGATCCGCCCGCCTCAGCCTCCCAAAGTTCTGGGATTATAGGCATGAGCCACCGTGCCCAGTGAAAATCTTTTTGTTGACCCTTAAAATACCCCATGTGGGCAATTTTGTTTAAGGGGTATTTCTGCTCTACCAAAAGTCTTGACACTTTTTTCATAACAGTAACTGACATAAAAATGACAAATTTGTGAAGGGCTACAGTTTTCTTGGCTTTGCTTTATATTTCCAGCTGTAATTTTGGGTGTTTTCGTAACACCTCAAATTCAATATGGAATCGAGTTGATGATATTGTCTTGCACCAGAAACCAGCTTCTCCCATCTTCCCAATCTTGCATGCTTCTTCACCTCCCGAACACATGCAGTCTCACTGACCCACGAAGGCCCCTCTTTTTGGTCCCTCTCCATTCCTGATGCTCCGTCTGCTACCTTCTACCTCTAACACCTTGGCGTTGTCAACATTCTTCAAGCTGTTAAAGCAAATTCTAAGGTTGCCAGGTCATTAGGTAGAGATTCCCTGGCATCTGAAAAAACCAAAGGTACTCTACACTCTACAATTCTCTGGGCAAATGCCTTCACAGATGGTCTTCCAATGGTCAGATCTAAGCCACACAGTGCCAAAAAGGGCCTGTGGAAGTCCCTTTCTCCTTTATTCTTTCTTTTCTTCCTTCCTTTCCTGCCCCCCTCATATTTGAATGTTTATTATGGGACAGACTCTAATGCTGGCGATACCACAGAACAGGCCAGTGTCTCCGCTCTTAAGACACTAGTTGGGAATGTGGATAAATAAGCAGATAGAAATCGCAGGCGTGCAGCAGGCCATAGGCACACCTGTGAAGGACCTCCAACCTCGTTGAGTGGACATGGGAAGCACTTCCTGAGGAAGAGACCTAAGAGACCAGACTTGAAGAATGAATCACCAATAGCTAGACAAACGGTGGGTGGAGGCTGGGGATGGTAGTGCCAGAATGTTGCAGACAGGGAAGGGAGGAGCTTGTTTGTAAGCCCAGAGGCAAAAGAGGAGGAATGGAAAGAAACAAGGTAGCTGGAGCCAAAGAAACCTGAGAAGTGAAAGGTGAAACTGGAGAGGCTGGCAGGAGAAGGAGGGGCAGGAGAGGACCTGAGAGAAAAGTCAGTTTTCTGGGAGAGCTGTGTCAGCTCTTTGCAGACTCCCCATCTACTCTGAAGGTAGTCCCAACATCCAGGTGTTGAGGAGCATTAGTCTGGAGAGAAGTAGTAAAATGATGTGACCGCTTGCTGAATTTCTCTAATCAATTCTTCAAAATAGGAATACATAGTGTTTTGGAAGGATTTAATTTTTCCATTTAATTTTATTATCAGGTGGCAAGCAATTTACAGAAGGTTCTGGGAATTTGGATGGGCACGTACTCCTTTGGACACATGTATAACCTGGGTACTTCTTTTCTTCTGTTTACTCATTAAAAAAAATAAGGAGGCCGGGCACGGTGGCTCACGCCTGTAATCCCAACACTTTGGGTGGTCGAGGCAGGTGGATCGCCTGAGGTCAGGAATTCGAGACCAGCCTGGCCAACATGGTGAAGCCCTGTCTCTACTAAAAATGCAAAAGTTAGCTGGGCATGGTGGTGCGTGCCTGTAATCTTAGCTACTTGGGAGGCTGAGGCAGGAGAATCACTTGAACTCGGGAGGTGGAGGTTGCAGTGAGCCAAGATCTTGCCACTGCACTCCAGCCTGGGCGACAGAGTGAGACTCTCTTTCAAAAGAAAAAAATTAAGAAAAAAGGAAATTGGACTATGGAAACTAACATACCTACATTTCTATGACTTTGTATATTATATCGTGTCAAAAAACAAAATTGAAATAAATGTAAAGATCTCAATTGGCCTTGTTTGTGATTCCAGAATCAGGCAATTCTTCATTTTGTGAAATAAATGTTCTGATGAGCTGACCAGAAGAATTTGGCTTTATAGGCAGAGAAGGCCTGAAGAAAGCAGAAGCAGAGAACAAGGAGTGTATTAGTTACTTCCAGACAGAACAACAGAAAATAACTGGTTAGTTAATATCAGGTTACTTCAGGCTACGTGTGTGTGTGTGTGTGTGTGTGTGTGTGTGTGTTAGAATTAAAGCAGAGAGAACTTCCTTATCATGCTGATTGAAGATTTGCAGTGGCCTGTTTGGGAAATTGGCTCTCTCTCTCTCTCTCCTGATTTCTCAGGTCAAATAACAACTTAGTTTAGGTTTGCCTGGGTGGCTCCATTTTGATTTTTATTCTGGGTTGTTCGAGCCTAGTTCAAGAGCTTAGTCCAAAACAATGACCTCCTATAATTTTTTATTTATCAATAGTGTGATGGTTAATTTTATGTGTCCACTTGGCTAGGCTGCAGTACCCAGTTGTTTTGTCAAACACCAGTCTAGATATTGCTGTGAAGGTTGAAAATACCTTCACAGTTATGATCAATACTGAAATCAGTGGAATTTAAGTAAAGAAGATTACCCACCATGATGCGGGTAGGCCTCATCCGATCATTTGAAGGCCTTAAGGGAAGACCGAGGTGCCGAATGAAAAGAGCAAGGAATTCTGTCACCAAACTGCCTTAGAACTCAAGACAGCCACATCAATTCCTGTTGGATTTTCCAACTTGCCTACAGATTTCAGACTTGCTAGCCCCTACGATCATGTCACCCAATCCTTTAAAATAAAAATAAATCTCTCTCTCTCTCTGATAAATGGAATAGGCTCTTTGCTAAAAGGGAAAAGAAAATAATTTACAGTGGTAACATCACCTCACCATCATATAACAATTTGGCATTGGTCAGCTTCAGATTAAAAACCTAGTTCCAGTACTTACTCTATGACATTAATTAATTAATTAGAAACAAGGTCTTGCTCTATCACTCAGGCTGGAGAACAGTGTCACCATCATAGCTCACTGAAGCTGGAACCCCTGGCCTCAAGCTATCCTCCTGCCTCAGCCTCCCATGTAGCTGGGACTACAGGTGTGGGCCACAACATATGGCTCCAACTTACTGTGTGACTTTGGACACATGACTTAACCTGAGTCTCAGATTTTAAACTTTGAGGTGGGGATAAAAAGAGTCCTTACCTCATAGGATTGTTTTAAGTATTAAATGAGATAATCCATTTTGTATTTAACCAGTGACTGACACAGGGGAATGTTCACTACAAAGTAGCAATCCAGCAACAAGAGCATCAAAATGACTATTCCGGCCGGGCGTGGTGGCTCACACCTGTAATCCCAGCACTTTGGGAGGCCCAGGTGGGTGGATCACGAGGTCAAGAGATCAAGACCATCCTGGCCAACATGGTGAAACCCCGTCTCTACTACAAAAAAAAA